AGGTGCCAGTTTCAGAATACTGGGTATGCTGTAAAGAATAAGGACAGATGTCCCTGCTCAGTGCAGGGGGGTTGGGCTAGATGATGTCTAAAGGTCCCTTCCAACCCAAAGCATTCTATAATTCTACAAATCTATGATTCCATTATATCTACAGTTTACAAATGTCTTTGGTGGGTGGACAGCTGTCCCTGAGGCGAGTCTCTATGCCATCTGTTGCTGCAGTTTATGACACCTCAATAAAATGCAGTGCAATACATGTCCATTTCTGAAATGCAGGAGTACTAATATTTTGTAAACTAATTAGGCCTTTGCCCTGCAGCAGCAATCCAAGATGCTTTTAATATTAAAGTTAGTTTTAAAGTAAATGAATGTTAAGAACTTTTTCATCTGCTCTTAATGCCTTTTTATTGAGAATGATATTAAAGAAGGATGATAGTATGTGAACCTTGGCCAAAAAACAGAACTGTGTGTTAAGTGCAGCAGAGCTGCAAAGTACTTGTCCACTTTGTATTTGACTCAGTTTGCAGTGAAAATCAGCTGGTGCATAATATAATCTAAAAAAAGGCAGGTGGGCTCCAGGAATGGAAAGAAGATTCTCCATTCATGCATTTTGAAATTGCTTCTTCTGGCAGCTTCATTTCATGCAACATAGATATTGGTAGAGGCATTGTAAAAACTCTCTCTGTTAGCTCTTCTGCTACTCATGATCATGATTTTATACACATACAATATATCTTGACACAATCAGCTGTGTCCTAGGTGGAAATCATTCCAGATGTCCCTTCAATGTGCTGTTTCTTTTCTGAGCCTTTTTTGTAGTCTTTATACTTCTTTTGAGATGGGGGACCAGAATTGCACACAATTTTCAAGATGTCAGCACTGCATAGATTTATACAAAGGCATAAACACAGGATTCAATTTTTTTCTCTGCTGCTTTCCTTACAGTTTCTGTCACTGTGTTTTGCTGTGGTTTTGGAACTGTAAGTCACAATCCTGAGGTCTCACAGGCCTTTTAATTCAGAGCCCATATACTCTGACCTCCTGTCACAGTTAAATATGTCTATTTACATCTATCCTATATTTTCTGTCCACTACATTTGCATTTTATTAATGCCAAGACCTCTTATCATAATTCAGGACAGATTAGTTTCATCAGGAGCTTTCGATGAAAGACCTTGAAAATTTTCGGGAAAGCTAAGGAGAATACAATTACTACATGTCCTTTTAAACTCCTGCACATAAATCCATTAAGTGCCTGAGTCTCCCTTTACAAAGCAGTAGCTAGTATCTACCAGTATGTTACTTCATTCTTCATTATGATTTCTACTAATATGCCCAGTACAGATGTTAGACCTACAAGTCTGCTGTTTCCTGAATGCCTCCTAAGACCATAAAAAAACCTTGCTGTCACATTTCCTATCCTCTTGTCCTCAAGTACCTCAAGTACCTTAGGCAGTAGTCATACTTCAAAGATAGTATTTTAACTATTTCTTCTTGAATTCTACTTTGAAAATTTTTCAGCCAAATACTGTGTTAATAGTTTACTGACTTAGGATGCAAATTAACACTTTTTATAACCTATTATCAGCACTATGGAATACTCACAATTTATGCATTAGAATGTACATTTTTGCTATATATAACTTACAAGCAGCACGAAAAGGGATTCCTATTTTTCCTTGGATACTATTAATTAGAACAATGTGGCCAGTTCTTCTTGAGATCATATTGGGAAGAATGGCTGAAAAAAAAAGAAAGACAAGAAAGAGCCACATAAGTAAAGGACCTCAATGTATTTAGTGAAAAGAAATGACAAGTGAAGTGTAGATAGCAAAACTTCAGTGAAGGTTGTCTCCATACTGCAATTAAAAATATCACAAAATCTAGTAGCTGGAAATTGAGTGTCTTTAGACTTCACTTGGATTCTACATGCAGACTTGGTGCAGTATTATCACATTTAATTGTCAGCCTGTCTGTATCCTTGCAAGGGCTTTGAAAACAATTGTCTTTGTAACAAAGGCAGCAATCATGTAAATAAAGGAGTCACCATATGCAAAATACAATAAGCAGACATTTTGAAAAATGTTTGTCTTTCAAACATCTGCTTATATATTTCTTGACCAATCTATTTCCAAACCCAGGCACTCTGATTTTGATCTTCTTCACCTCAATTTCAGTCCATTGATTTTCACAGAATTGTCTTTGATTATAGTGAAGAAGGCAAAAATAAGTGCAAATGAAACAGTGTGATGCCAATGACTTGGATCTCAAGCTTTAAGTGGCAACAGCAAAACAGGAAAAAAAATTAAGATACCTTTGGTTAATGTTATAGGTCCAAAATAGTTGGCATCCATTATCTTTTTATCAAGTTCCAATGAGATGCTCTGCACTGCTCCTTTCACCTTCATACTTGCATTGTTGATCAGTATATCCACACAGCCATAGCAATTCAGGATTTCCTTAGCTACATCTTGAATGCTGTTTATGTCTGAGATATCCAGAAGTAGGAGCTTTGGTGCATATGTCTAATAAAGAAAATAATTATTTCAAGGATACCTGTTATATAAAAATGTATTTCTATTTACTTGTCTTATAAATTAATTTACCTTGATATCTGAAGAAAGTGTTTTTATCATTCTCACAAAACTTTGATTTGTTCTTTTAACCTACTCTAGAAAGTAGGTAGTTCAGCAATGGGTATTCATAGATTTTGAAATTCAGATGGGGCAGAACACCATGGGAAGGGTAAGCTGGACTAGCTTTACACATTGAGCTCTACTATTGAGTTTGTCTCTCTTGTAATCAGTGGAGACAGATAATAGACACAGGGGTGACTCCTACAACTCCAAGTTATGGTCTTTCTGTAAGCAGCCCTCTGGAGAACTTTGCTGACCATACAGTCTAGGATATGGTGCTTTGACAGATAATTTACTTATACATGGGGGGCAATTGGAAGGTAGGAATGATTTGTTCAGGTATAGGTTATCCAAATGTTTACATTTGTACATTTTTTGCAAAGATGTGGATTTTATCGGCTATGGGACAGAGGAATGAACTCTGAGTATCTTCTCTTACTGTATTACAACAATGATGTAATGCAGACCCCTTAGTCATACTTAATATTTTTTTCCTAGTTGAGTCTGCACAGACTGACATGAACACACTACTTTTCTGGTTATTTATGCAGATGAATGAAGCTCGATGCAAAAAAAGGGTCAAACGCAAATATTTGTTGGTCTGCTGAGCAATGGCTGTAGAATTTGTGTGATGCCTTCAAGAACATCTGTGCCCTGAAATGAGTCAGCTATCTGTTGGTCACAGAAGGAAAGCTTTCCCATGAGCATCAAAGAAACACCTTCCAAAGAACTGGCAGCAGGGGCAGCCTTACATGTGTACTTGCATGGTGACCTAGTCAGTGGTAATGAGGAAAGGGCATTCTTATTCACATGCTCCCATGCCCTTCTAGCTGGGACTTCTCTCAAAGTAGAGGAGAAACTCAAAATTAATTCAATCTTTAGACTCATCTCCCACTCCTTGAGCACTCTAATTATGCGGACAATGGGTGATAGTTCCTGTGATTAAATGAAGCACTTTGGATCCTTTTCATCCAAATTAACAGGCAAATTATTCTGCCTAGCATTTCTAGTTGGATGGCTTATTCAAAATGCAGGACCACTCAGTTGCTTTACAGTAACTGCCTTGAATTAGCTCAAGAGAGCAGGATTTCTGACTTATACTTCTGGCATCATGCTCTGAAGACCTTCAGAGGTGGTTCTCTCTCTCTCTCTCTCTCTGGACTGCGTTGGGTGTGTTACCTGGGTGATCAAAATCACCATTAATAATCAATCATGTTTCATGTACCTTGTTTTATTGGATTTAAAAGCACTTTGTGTACATGAACAAGGTGTTTACCTCAAATTGTGAATTTTCAAAGCAGAGTGAGGATATACTTACCATACTGGGATCTGCCACACTAATTAAAGCATCATACAAGGCTTCTAACTTTTCCAGCGTCCTGCCACACAACACAAGCCTTGCTCCTCCTGTGTGAAACACCCGAGAACATTCTAGGAGAGAAATGTGTTCAAAAGAAATAATAACAATAACAACAATCTGATTTTATTTATTTTGCTTGAAATGGGATGTTGTTTTTGCTAGTGATGTTGAATTTATGCTTTAAAATTCATTAATTTTGAAAGAATAAATATATATGAGAAAAAAGGAAGCACTAATATAATAATATAATATATGAGTAATAAACTAAAAATTAATGTAATGGTATAATGCACAGTTACAGCACAATGGTACAGTTTAGTCATGGGATTTAATACAAATTTAATTAAGAAAAGAACAATATGCCAGTTAATGGATGATGGGTTTGAGTTAGAAAAATTATTCTGATTATCTTTGTTCCTTAACTTTCTCCACCCACAGACACACTTGCTATAAAGAAAAATACATACAAAAATATACGCTTAAGGTTTTTACAATACAAACTGCATCTTTTGCAAATCTTCATGTCTGCTGCAGTACAACGAAGAAACCAAGCAACTCTAGTAAATACTAAAACTAGCTCTGTACGCTACCTTCATGAAACTCTTGGCAACATGAAACTTGTCTACAGTTTTGTGAAAGAGCAATACAGAGAAACTTACTACCCACTGACCTACAGATGGAGCACCAATGAGAGAGGCCTTTCCTTTACAGACTCTTCCCTCACATGTAATCAATCCCAAGATCTTTAACTCCTGAGTATTAGACCTTCCCAGTAGTCAGCAGAGGCACCAGGGACGAGCTTGAGCTGCCTCTTTTTCAGCTACATTCCCTGAAGCCTTCCTGAGAAGGCTACTGAGAAGTTTCTGGGTATGCTGGGCTGGCACTGCTTTTTCTCCATCTATTCAGGGATATTCTGAGCTAGGGGTTCACCCCAGTTTAAGCTAGGTCTCTGGGGAGGATTCTTCTCCTTTTCTTATGTAAGTGAACTATGATTGTGCTTTTTTGAAAGTGGGGACTCGTATAACAAGAGGAACTGGCAGTCAATGTTACCCATCATCCCACCTCAGCACTAGCTACAAGACTGCAGCCAACTCATTAGTTTAGGTCTTCATGGTAGTATGTGATCCACTCAATCCATGTGATGGAATACCAGGCTGGATCATCTTGACAGCATGTGTCTGGTCTATTTTCTTCTCTAGGTGGTGTTGAGGGAGAATATATTCCTCACTGTTCTGTCAGTTTGACTAAAGAAAGGCGTTTAAAAACATGGAGCATAGATATCTTATGGACATCTTTTAGGAATTAATAGTCAGTTGTATCCCTCTGGCTATTATAGGCTGCTACAGGGTGGATGTTCTAGCTCAGCTGAACTGAAACTGGCTTTTAGCCAAGGAATCTGTCAAGGTTGTCCTCCTGACCAGGAAAAGTACACAATTGCCTGCCTTTTCTTTCTTGGAATAAATAATGTCTTGCCTCTAGGCCTGAGAATGCAGCTGATGATGTGCCCACTGTGCCCCAAACCACAGATTTGGTTTGGGTGCAGCCAGACAATCAGTTGACCGTGGTTTATGTGTGCTGGTAAGACTAGAAATTAAGAGTTGTTTTTCCTCTCATGGCTTTCTTCCTGATTAGGTTTTCCAAAAAGCTCTCAGCCTTGGAGCCCCCATATTTGGTCCCTAAATCAAATCTGTATGACAGTTACATATTCAGCATGCGAAGAACAGGAATATGGTCTTACAATTACTCTTATGCCTTTCAAGTCTGTTTGATTTGTCTTAGCTCCTATGACCTTTGTTGAATGGACAACAGTACAACCCTGGTGCTATAGCTGTCTGTCCTCCAAAAAGCATTTTCTTCAGATTTCAATATTCACAGGCAAATCCAGTTATGCTAATGTGCCCATGTTAGATTTCCTGAATGCCCATGTTAGACTCTTAGTATCTGTATGGGAGCACTTCTGGATCCACTTTTCTATATTTGTAAACCTGTGCAGCTGGAGACTTTTATTTACATAATCTTTTTCATTATTTACAACAGTAATTTTATGAATGTCTTTCATTTTCTTTTTTCTAGCACAGAAAGATTTTTGATTTAAAGCCCAAAAGATTATTTGCCAGTACTAGAACAACTATACCAGTATTTTTTCTATAAACATAACAGTTGGGGCAACCTTGTGAATAAAATGAGACTACTGTGTGAACAGCAATAAAAGGGGAAAAAGGGAAACCAACAATGTTCTCATTTAGAACTATCCTGGACTTTTCTGATTTATAGCACTGAGAAGAAACAAGAATCAGGTTTAATTAACAACCATAAACCATTGCAGACATCTTCAATCATGATAGTTTTTGTTTCTCTTTTTTAACTTTGATGAATGTCATCTTTAGTCCAGAAATTCTGGCATGTGGGAAAAGGAATTTGGCTGTTGCTTAAGAGCTCAAATATGCAGCAGCTGGCCAGACAGCTGGTATTTTAAAGCTCTGGATGAATGGCCATCACATGTGCATGAGTGGACTGCACAGTAAATTCTGCATGATTTGGAATAATTCAAGCCTGCAAATAACTTCTCAGTATCACCCTATGGGATACTGGCAGTAGATATGTTTAGGATAATAAAATAAAATTGCTTTGAGTTACCTCCTTCTTCATCTATGTCAAAAAGGGTGCAGGGACGGGGGCGGGGGGGAGATGCTTGCCTTTGTAGCTTCAAGAGACAGGCAGCAGCTAGTCACAAAAAAAAATTTTAAGAAGGAAATTGAACTTACGAAAATCTTCCCCAGGGGTCATGCAGTGCTGGAGCAAGATACCTGAAGAAATGTTCAATAAATGTTCTTTATCCTTGGAGGTTTCCAAGATTTGGCTTCAAGCCACACCCAACCAGATCTAGCACTGATGATGTTCCTGCTCCAAGCAGGACTTTTCTCTAGAAACCTCCAGGCATCCTATGATTCTATGAGACACCCAGTCTCAGCTGGAGAACTCTAAATCATGCCTCTCCAAATAAAAATACTGAAATACAATGAATCCAAGAAAATGCATGCTAATATTATCTTCAACTGAAACTGAAGTGTGTCAGGGAAAGGGAAAGACCAGGTGGGATATGGAGGTCAGAATTATTTCATAGCATGTCCTAACAGGCTCTGATAAAGACCACTCCTTTCCAGCATAGTATGTATTTCTACTGCAGGTCTCTGCTCTGTTCTGCTAAGGAAAAATTCTGCAAGAGCATTCCCTTTCCCCATCTATTTTCTGCTTGGGAGTGCAAGGTTTCCAACATACAGCAAGTCTTCATTGAAAACGCCAAAACGTAGCCTCAAGCTATGTTTGCTTTATCAGGCACTTGCATCTACTGCCCCTCGAGCGATACCTAGAGCAGGACTGTACATAAGCAATATATGACCCCGTACCTTTAATCTGGCAGCACCATGTAGGCAGGAAACACAAGCCAAGATGTATATGCTAAGTGGCTGGTCACCCGTGCAATCAGCTTATATAAATAGATAAATTACCACATACCCTGTCCTTCTGTCCACTGAACCCACCGTTACATATAGCCAGGCAGCCCAGTTGGAGGTACTGGAGGATGTCAAGGGAAGAGGAGTAACACTGGTGATAGAGGGGGCAGAGATATTAACGGGGACAGAAGAGTGAGCACTGTTGTTTACAGGGAATAGGAAATGTTGAAGTCTTTAAGGGCTGAAAAGGAACATGTAAAGGGTAAGGTGACACCTGTTTATACCGATTTGCTGCTACCCTGCAGCAACTGCCTATGTAATAAGATCTCATAGTAGCAACATGCTAATAATAGTCCTCTTAATGTGCTTACAAAACCTCTCGTTCTATTGAATTAAATAAATACACAGCTCAGCAGTTCCTAAAAGTTTACCAGCACTCCCTGTGGCTGAGACTAAAAATGTACATTTAAAAATCACAGGATTTGTTTAAAAATATATTTCTTAACTTCTGTTTCATCCAGGCAGTTATGAATATATACAAGGTAATGTATGCACATTTATTAGAGGGTGGTTCTCTGGCTGTTTCTGTTCTCTGACACCAAGAAGAAATGAGACAACTCACCCTTGCCCAGTCCAGAGATCGCATCCGTGATCACCACCACCTTGTTTTGCACGGCTGACTTGGACAATAGCCCCCTGACTGACTGGTAAATATGAATAAATCCACTGATCCCTAAGAGAAGCAACGGTAGAGCAAGTACAGCAAGAATACCCATCTCTGAGGGAAACAAAAGACCATATGAGAGTAACAGTAATCATAATAAACATTCATTATTTTTCAAATTATTCTTATGTATAAAAACAATGTTTTCATATATAGAAAATCTAGTAATCACATGCCAAAGGCTTGAAGCAGTGGGAAGCTTGCTTTCCAATCAGTGGCTTAATATTATTATTTAATAAACAGGGTAATATTGTTTGTTTGTCTGTTTTCCTCATCATTGCATGGTCTAACCAAATCTGAATTCCTTTTATTCAAAATTACTCTACATTGGCAAAAACATAGTAAAATTTTAGTGCAAATATTGCCTTGAGGCAAAACATAAGCTAAAATATAACACTGAACTTTTAATTATGTTGCTACTGTAAGAAAATAGATAAAAAGCTTTTAACCCTAATTGCAGACAAAACACATAATAGAAGTGTTTTCTGTTCTAAAATATAGAGAAAATAGAATCACTTACTATGGCTATGAAGACTCTGGGTACAGATAAAGCATTCTTTTATATTTTTGTAAATTTTTATATTACAGGTTTGATTAAAGCCCTTTAGCAATTTCATAGAGCATTGCTTTTGTTGAGGCTGCTTGCCCTGAATGAGAATGGCTATGTATAGCCATGTGACAGTGATACTTTACAAGTAAATATAGCATCTACAGTGCGATTCGCATGCCTGACCTATCTAGTCCAACAGGCTGGACAGTCATGTAAAAGCGCTTAGTACAGTATCAATTCAATTGTACAAAAAAAATCTATCTCTCTATCTTGCCTTCGGTTGCAGTTGTTCGTAGGACTGTCTCAATTTCTTGTCATTGGCCTTCAATTAACTTTACACATAAAAACATTTGTATAAACTCCATGATAATAATAGGTCATCTTCAAAAGCAAGCAAAAGGTACCATAAAGAATTTGCCACTTTAAAAAAATCACTGTTCAGCAATATGAATGATGTATGTAAGTGTCAGGATCAGATCTTTGAGCAAGTTTGCTTGGGAGCTAAGTGCTGGAACACAGACCAGGCTGGCATATTGTGCTTCCAGGTGCTACAGGCTGCTTTCCACTCTTGGTATCTGCAAGGCAGATGTGCCTCTTTCCCAGCAATTTCAGGACCATAACAACTTTAGGTAGGTGATCTAACTTTTACATTTCCTGAAGAGAGATATTATCTGTTAACCTGACAATACAGTTGTATGTTCCCCTTTGGGGTTCTAGGGAAACAAATGGTTTACCATAAATCATTCCTTTTTTGCTGTTTCAAAAAATTGTATCAGTCTTAAAACTGTAAGTTTTGACAACCAGATTCAGTACTCCTGTTCGTGCTGTGTAACTGGTCATCTAAATTCTATGTTCTAATTTTCATGTCCAATGAGAGAATGACAAGTCTACAAATGGTAGAGAGTCATTGATACTGGAGTGTTGTAACAAGGAACAAAGACTTCATGGTTAGGTCTGCAGGTACCAGGACAGTGTTAGCTTTCAATGGTGGGAAAGGATAGAAGGTTATTCAAGAGGGCATAAGAGGAGACTCTTAGACATAGTTTGTAAACCTAACTTGCTCTAGAAGCTAATGACATCGGGAATCAAGATGCATATTCCTGACTGTGAAAGTTGAAGTTGCCTGCCAAAGAACCCATGATTTAAGATTTCCAAACCACAGAATTGTATAACGTGCCAATGTTTGAAGCATTGTATACACTTCTAGCTAAGACGACTCCACAGTGAATGACAGATATGAATAAATACCTGTTCTCCAACACAAAATGGTCATGGTGTCCTGAAATTTACATCAGTTTCCACAGGGGAATGTAAAAACATTACGTCAAATGGAACAGGATGTGTTGTTCATTTAATTTCTTCTGGGTTCTGGAAACATTTTTATGCGAAGCTGAAATATCAAAAAAAGTGCACACTAAAAAGGAAGGATTTATAGGAGTTCCAAGTGATTTGTTTGCTTTGTTCCCAAATGAACCAGAGCAATGGTACAAGTAATGTAAGAGCAAGAATAGGAAATAGTGAATTGGAAGAACTAGACAACCAACAATGTGTAAGATTGTAATAATAAAATGCTAGCATGGCTATTAATAATAATGAACAGTTGTAAAGGAAGACTGCCTGAGTCATCTGGAAAAATACAGACATACAGTGACTGCAATAACCAAAACACCCAAATCTTTCCAAACAAAAATCTCTCAATCGGGTGAAGCACCAGAGAAATGTATTCTGCACTGCCACCTACAGAGCACCATTGGAAACACCATAGAAACAAGAATAATTCTAAATTGTTTCAGAGGGTAGATCCCGTAGAAAGGGTAAGTCATCTGCAGGGAAACTTGAACAAAAGTGAGTCCCTCACTCTCCCTCAGCTAGCTCTGAAAGTCTCTACATTCCCAACTCCTTTGTCCAGAGCAGAGCTCCAGGAACTGTCCCAGATGACACCAGAGCTGAACAGTGTTTGTCCAAACCTGAAACTTGAGGGAGAGCTAGGGCTTAATTCCCTGAAGTGCTCAACCCAAGAGGCTATCTGAGAGCATGAACATGCACTTACATATATTTACATTACTTACATTTCACATTGTTCAGAAATGCTGGACATAGCATTGAGTGGGTGGGTGTTCTTTGATGTCTTGTTTGTAGTTTTGTTTGGTTTTGTTTGTTTATTGGAGGAATCAAGACTTTAACACACTATAGATAAAGCAATGGTTAGGGGCACTGGTGATTAAAGCATTCACCCAGGAAGAAGAAACAAAGATTTCAAATCCATGTCTGCCCCCAAAAGATGGTACTAGCTTTACAGCTGTCATTTCTAGGGGTTGTGAACTCCCTATGCATGGCCATATTCTTGTTCACAGCATAGCTCACTATTTTAACCAGTGGCTGCCTAACATCTAAGAATACAGTTCTCCCTTTGAGTAGAAATGGAAAGCCATATGGATTTTCATATACTTTGAGAGGATATGTGTCTAGCACTCAAAGCCAGAGACATTTTTAATACTAACAGTAGTCAGGTGAAGTGCTTTAGTTCTGTGCTTCTTATGCTCCTAATAATGGCACATATAGGCTGTAGCAAGTCCTGTGTTCCCCATTTGTCTTAGCCACATGACATTGCAGGGTATTTGCTGTGACAACATTATTTTCACAGTTAGATGAAATTTACCTTTTTTTCCTCAGCCATTGTTTCTGTTTACTCCCATTCTTATTTTATTGATTCTCCTCATATTTTCTTCTGATAGCTTTGAGATCACTGAGCATACTGACAGTACAGTTTCTACTAAAAGATATTTTTGGCATTTCTATTCCTATGTTTATACCTATTTCATAACCATCGGTGAATAGTCTCCACCTATTCCTAGAACTGTTGTTTCATGATTAGCCCATCATATATTCATAATACTACTATGAATATTTTCAAGCCTTGCAAAGCACAGAAATTCTTGCTCGAAAAAGCAGTCAGCACCATGTTTGGTCCTGGGAGCAGCAGATACATATGGTATTTCCATTTTCAATGTAAAAAAAAAATAATCTTAACAATTTCAGACTCAAAAACTTTTTGAAAAGTCCTGTGATCACAATGCAAGAACCAGAAACCTTTGAATCAGAAACACAGTGTCAACAGAAGAACATCTAGTTCAAGTCAGACACACTGCCTGCTCAAGGTCAAAACCACTCCTCAGTCCATGCAATTATTATTTATTTGATGTTCTCTTCCCACACATCCACAGCAGTGGCCTTCATTCCTCTGCCTAGTTTCATCTGAAAACAAGGAGTTTTGTATCCTGGCTGCAGACAGTCTGCACACTAGAGCAATCGAATATGTTTTTCATACTCTGATGTGACCAGACAGCATCCTTGCCCTGGAATTTTCTCAGTCACTGTCATGGCTCCCTGCACAGGGTTTGGCTGGTCATAAGGCCTGAAGGAATTTTTGCTCACAGACTCCATCTTATGGATTTAAGGAAAGAGATCAGTTCTCACTGTGCACAATTTGTCATAACCGGTCAGATAGTATTTTTGGTCTACTATTATCAGCACGAGACTAAACATTTTTCATGGCTTTCAAATTCTGGTGTCTCTCATAACCTACCAGCACCTATGGGAAACCTGTAGATTGGCAGTATAGTGTTTTTCCATGGTATAACCAAGTCTCCGTTCCTTCAAGAATTTCAGTGCTCTGCGCCTCTCCCTCGAGTTTTTTTTTCCCCAAACTCTATGAAAAAAAAAGATCATCTTAACCTCCTCTTCCTTTCTCTTCCACGTCTTTTAAAAAACTTTTCTATCTTGGCTAGAAGTTCAGGACATGGTCTCTGCTACTGTGTTCCAGACTGCAGGTCACACTGTGCTTTCAATACTATATTTAGGGACTGTTTAATTCAGTTCCACACTACACCAAGTAAGTGTAGGAACTAGCATACATGAGGCTTATCCAATATGCATGAGCTTGGAAGTTAGTTCTGGTCTTGTTTTTTAACCGTCATATGGTTTATTGAAGGATGGCAAGAGGCAGACTGTTTACCTTCACAGACAGTGATGTCTCCTGCTGTAAAAAAGCACCTGGTGGTCTCCGCGTCTGGAATATCCTCCTTGGAAAATCTGGAAAGTAAGTTCAGTTTTCAGAACAAGCCAGTTGGTAACTCTTGCAGCTGGGTACATTTAAGAAAAATGCAGAATACTGACATTAGCCGGAAGGTCTGGTGGTGCTTTAGAGATTTCACTGCTGAAAAAGCTTTAAGAATTTTATTTATTTATTTCAAAATGACATGAGACTATTATCCAACACAATAACTAATCAGGTACAAGCCACAGCTCAGTGTAGTTTGTATTGAGAGTAGCTGATAAAATCAGAGGGAAGAAAAGTATGGAGTTCAGGAAGAAAACCCTCACTCGGACACATTCATGATCACATCCATACCAGTCCTGGGTGATCAGCCTGTCAAGCCAAAAGGTCCTTGGAGAACTGGGTTCTTGCAGCAAATGATATCCTACAGCACTGACTCTGCACA